ATATATATGTTATTTATATTTTTTAATATTAAAACCACAAAATTTTAAAAATTATTTTATTACATTATTTTCGAAAAAATAGCATGTATAATAGTGTATAAATAATTTCAATATTCATAGGAAAAGACGCGTTTTGATCGTTCCATTCATAACGAATACAACGTAAGAAATATAGAAAAGCAATGGTCTTTTACTGACAACATGACGGTAAGTAATTAGATTATTTTAATATATTAAAATATAGATTTTAAAAAACTTCTTTTAAAAACAGCAATTCATTGCATACAAGAGCAGGAAAGAGAACGATTGCTATCTTGAGAATATAAAGCAAGATCAAAATGTATCACATAAGAAACGGCAACCAAAGATACTTTATGCATCGACAGCCCTAATAAAATTGGAGGTAATGATAAATAATCGATTTAACAACATCATATTGTTATAAATTATGATGTAAACAAAAGTTTTTTTCATTTTTCAAAAGATTTCTATATATGCATATATAAAAATTAGCATACATGTATAAAACATAATACATATATAAAAAAACTTTTATCTATTTTTTACATAATAGTGATTATATTGTCTCAGAAGTATTTAATAAATATACAACAAAAATAAAAAATATTATTTAATTAATTATATGTAAAAATATGATTATTTACGGACACAATATTACATCAACTAAAGAATATTAAAATTCTGATTTAATATTCTAAACATAAATAGGCATGGCAACTTGCTGGAGGCCGAATTGTTGATTTCTGTAATGGACGTAGGATCATCTTGCTGCAGACAAATAAACCTATACCTGGGCAAACTCTCGATCCTTTTCTAAATGAAATCCCTGTAGACGAGAATGACATTTTTCCAAGACGAATAGTTGATGTGGTTTTAACACCACTGAAAGCTCGGACCAAGAGACAAATTCAACTCGAACAACGGGAGAAATTGAACGAAAATTCTAACAGAATTCGCCTGGTTCGTCAACAGACGAATCAGTTTCGAGGAAAATTTCGCGGACAAACGCAATCTCAATATTTGAATCTCGGTAACCATGAACAGAAGGAAGGCAAGGCGGAAGCTGAAGCCACTCAGCAATCTTCACGCGCAGTAGTTAGTAAGTATATAGTTATTTGTTTTATCTAATAATTTTATACCGTTATGATAATTTAATCAGTAGATTCAATTAAATTGAAAGAATTTCTGCGACTTCGAATTTTGATGAGTTGAAATTAAAATTGTGACACACATTATTAAATGCGTAAATAAAAATTTTAACAAATAAAATTTAACGATTTTTTTTTTACAGAACATTAAAGTATCTTACATATCGTCTTTTCCAGGCGGCAGTCGTGGTATGGGTCAAGCGCAAAGTATGTCGTCAAGTGGTCCAGGTTGTGAAGATTGTCCTGGATATTCCGGTATAGAGGGAGGTCCGGATAAGATAAGGCCACTGCCCACGGATACTGATAGATATATACAACGCCCACCTATTGGTGGTACACCTGTTATTACACGTCCTGGAACAGAAGTAACTACAGGCGTACTTTATCCTGGCGGCGTTACTCCTGATGGACAGATAACATATCCAGGCGGAGTGATTCCTGGAAGAGTCCATACTTATCCCGCTGTTCCAGGAGTTAGTCCAGGAATTTATCCGGGAGGTATACAACCTGGAACCGTGATACCGGAAACTGATAAATTATATTCTGGAGGAGTTCGTCCAGGAACTGTAATATCGGAAACTGATAAAATATACCCTGGAGGTATTCGTCCAGGAACTGTGACACCAGGAACTGATGGAACGTATCCTGTCGGTGTTCGACCTGGAACTATGATACCAGGGAGTGATGCAACATATCCAGGAGGTGTTCGGCCTGGCACTGTGACTCCAGGAGTTGGTGCAACATATCCTGGAGATGTTTGGCCTGGCACTATAACTCCAGGAGTTGGTGCAACATATCCTGGTGGTGTTCAGCCTGGCACTATAGCTCCAGGAGTTGGTGCAACATATCCTGGAGATGTCCGGCCTGGCACTGTAACTCCGGGAGTTGGTACAACATATCCTGGAGCTGTCCAGCCTGGTACTGTGATTCCAGGAGTTGGTGCAACATATCCTGGAACTATTCAGCCTGGCACTGTGACTCCAGGAGTTGGTGCAACATATCCTGGAAGTATTCGGCCTGGGACTGTGACTCCAGGAGTTGAGACAACATATCCTGGAGCTCTTCAGCCTGGAAGACCTGGGGTAATAACAGGAGTTGGAACAGGTGTTGAGACCTATCCAGGAGGAATTTATCAACCTGGAGTCCATCCAGGACAAGGTACCCATCCTTCTGATGGAGTGGTAACTACTTCAATAACAACGGGTGCTACTGCTGTTACTGGCGTTAATACATATCCGGGTGGTATAACACCTGGAAAAGGCTTACCAGGCGTAACATATCCGGCAGTTTCTGAAACAGGAATTTATCCTGGAACTGGAATCTATCCTGGCGGTGTTCGATCTGATACCGTCTCAGGAACAAGAGCCGACACATATCCTTATGGCGTTGCTCCAGGAAGAACAACAGATCAAGGAATTTATCCCAGTGATGGACAACAGACTGGCATGTCTTATCCCGGTGGTGTTCCATCAAGTACTTTGCCAGGACAAGTGGTCACGACCACAGGTTCAGTAGGTGCTGGTACACAAATAATAACTTATCCAGGTGGTCGAATAACAGACGGGCAAGCAATTTATCCAAGTCCTAGTGGTACTATTCAATCTAGAATTCCTGAAGGAGTAAGTGGTGCTCCAGGTACTAAAGTTATGTATCCGATAGGTACATATCCCGGAAGTGCTACTATACCAGTTACATATCCCGGAGGTGGCACATATCCTGGTAGTATGCAACAAGTTACTTCTCCCGGTGTTATTTTATATCCCGGTCAAGCAATCTATCCTGGTGGGATTGACCAAGTGTCACCATACCCAGGCGGACAACATCCAGGTGCAGGCACCGAAATTTCTAGAGGAACAGGCATACCAGGAGGTATTCAATATCCAATAGGTACAATCGAAGGTCAAAGAACAACTGGAGAAACAAGAACAGATATCACTGGCCAATATCATGGTCCATATCCTGGCGAAATTAGCGGTCAAGGAATAGAAACTGGTCAATATCCAGGAAGATTTTACACAGGAATGGGTGAAACCGCAGGAACCGGAGAAATATCGCAAGTTGGAGGTCCAGGTAGACCAGTGGGTATAATGGACAACGGTGCCGAGTCGCAGGCATCGAGCTCCGTGCAGCAGATAGAGTCAGGTACTCAAGCGAGCGCATCGGCTCAAGGTAAATACGGCTCGGGTACGGCTCAATCGCAGGTAACGGGCACCTACAGTGGCTCAGGTACCTTCTCTGCACAGGCCGGTACCAGCGACGCCAACAAAAGCGTTCAGACTGAGATTAGTGGCGGCAAAGAAGGAGCTACCAGTATCGCGCAAGGCATCGCCGATCACGGTAAGAGTCAGACACAAGTTCAGCTGGATTCCGATTCCGGAGCTACTTCGACAGGCGCCCAGAGCAGCGGGTGGAATCATGGTACTAATTCTCAGGTACAAGCAAGCTCCAGAGGCGGAATGGCGGACGCTCAGGCTAACGGTGAAGGTAGCACCTCTAGTCAAGCGCAAATCGGGTTCCAGCCATACTTGAAGAACGAAGATGAAAAGATAGAGAAAAACGTGACACCGTTTCGCGGTAGCGGAACAGCATCAGCTCAAAGCGGCATCCATCAAGGTCAATCCCAGTCGCAATTGCAGGGTTCCTTCCAATACGGAATCACCTATACCGGTGCAGCTCAAGCTGGTTCCGGATCCGGCGTCGCATCATCACGAAAACCCTTCAATTTTAACATCACCGACACCGAAGTTTTCAAGCCCTTCAAACCAGACCCTCCTTTAAAGAAACCGGCAAACATCGATAGTGCGCAATCGAGTCCATCGACAAGTCAAAATTATGAGAATAAGCAAGACGATCATGAAAAAGGCTTGCAGAGTAGTTCGACCTCGAAACAGACTGTTGTTGTGAGTTCCAAAGACAACCCATCTAATGATAAAAAAGTGAGAACTACTGAGAAATCACAAACGGATGATTCAACATATGACGAGTATGACGAGTACACGGACGAGGAAGATTATTCCACGGGTTCAAGGTTGACAATCCAGGAGAAGTTTTCGGAAACTTTGCCAAGTCCGGATCATCAAAAACTCAGTAAAACTACTCAACAACAAAGCCACGGTCAAATACAAACAATACAGGTCGCCAAGGGAAAGCAGTACGGCGTTCAAGTCAGCCAAGATTCGAACGTACCGCGAACAGGCGATACTTTGCAACCAGGACAATCTGTATCAGGATATACTATCCCGGATGGCTTTCGTGGTAGAGTAGTATCGACTTCTGGTACTAAAACTATCGCCCAAGGTGACGGCGAGTCTCAATCGCAGACCGTATCCTTGATACCAAAGGATCTGAATAATACCAAGTCGCCCGTCACGGAGACTAGGTCGCTTCAAACCAATCACGAACGTTACATCGGCCGGCATACATCGAACAGTAAGAGCCAAAGTTCTTTTGTTAATCAAAATGTATCTTCCGATAAGCGCGCGAGACCTACTCCCGCAGTGGCTATGAAACCGAGTTATTACACTGTGACTAATAGTTTTGCTGGTAAGATAAATGGAAGCAACGAGCCGAAAAAGTATGAACATCGATATTACACCAAGAGTTCCACTTGCGGATATTTCACGTTCTCCTGCAATGTCGTGTACGGCTCCAATGGCAGAACAAAGATTTGTAAGCCAAAAGTGCCAACGTATCCCGATGGCACGCCTATGAAATGTTGAATAACTAAGATTTATTCGTCGCGAGATGCGACAATAATTATTTTCTATAATCGCTTCTGTAAAGCATCATGCGTTAAATCATTTTTCGCTTCACCTGTAACATGAAAATAAAATTTAAGTAAGTTGTTTATAGTATAAATTAGATCATATTTGATTAATTATCAATTGCTTACACGCGCGCCATATTCCGCACTGTAACTCATTCTATCATAAATTTAAATTGTATATTTCGCACTCTTTAGCAGCTTTCAGCAAATAAAATAAATGTGAAAATAAAATAGATACGACAGAAAACCCTCAATCTTATGGATCAATAAAGACTTTAATTTTTTTCGAAAAATTCATAAGATTGAAAGTTGTAATACTTGTTGTATATACTTTAACGTTATACTTTTTTTTATTAAGATATTCTAAATTATTGTTTGTATAGCATAATAAACACGATACATGCTACATTAATTGCTGCTATTTATTAAGTTTTGTCAATAAAATACATTTTAATTACGAGAAAAATGTCTTTTCGTCTTTTTTTTTCTCACCAGTTAATAAATATAATGAACAACAATCTCCTCTTTCTTTTTTTTTCGAGATTTGATGTAGATTATTGTGTGTGTGTGTGTGTGTGAAGGTTTGTTCAAGTTTTATATCTCTATCTACAATTTAACATATTTGTGATGTGGTAAATTTGTAGAGTATTGCTTTTTTAAACTTATATTATATAGATTTTCGATATTGAGATAAAAAGTTCAATTATAAATATCAGGTATCGTATCTTGTACACATATTGTATTTCATTAATTGATTTCGCTAATCTTTTTCGAGGCGACGAAACATAGTTTCATTATGTATATGTATCATATGTGTAAATATATATACACACACAATATATCTTTATGTACACCAGTCTAAAAAAAGAACGTATAAAATAATAACGCGGAATGTAAACTGTTTATAAAATACCATCACAATGATAAAAAAAATGTACGTTCATAAAATTTACAAAAATAAAAAAAGATTACGGGCGATTATGAAATGATTATTTACAGAAAATAATAATAAAGATGAACACAATCTCTCTATTAATGAGTTGAGTAAATATATGACTGCTAAACAGTAGATACTGCAACATAATGACCCATCAATCTTATCAATCGACAAGTAATTAAAATTGCACATTATGTCAATATATACTAATAATATATACATTTACTTACATGCTACTGGAAGTATTGATGTTTTACGTTTATCATGAAACACGATAAACGCGTAACTCACAATAATTATTCGACATGTACAATTCGTCGAAGAATCACGTTCAATAGATAAATATAAAAAAAAGTTAAATTGTGTACTTTAGGCCCGCTGAAAGATCACCTATCCAATTTGCATTTTTACTATCTGATTTAAACCCGTCATTGCTATCGACACGAGCGAATACTAGGCTTGCTGTCGATCATAAACTAAAAGAACAAATAATATATTTCTATTAATTTGTTGTTTAACTTTTATTTTATTAAGATATTTACTTTTATTAAGATATTTTAATCTAGTTTATATATTTTTATTTAATTATTTTATTACATCTAAAAAAGCACTCTACTAAGTTAATAAATACCTTCAGCGTATTCATCGGAATTGTTTATTTGGAACTTTTGTTCTCCTGCTCCATTTACATCAGTATCTGCTGCACATGATTCGTTTTTGCTGATACAATATATAATTTTCAGATTCAGTTGTAGAAGATTATGATATTAACCTATTTCTAAAATGCTCTAGTTGCACATTTGCAGACTCTAATTGTTCCATAAGATCCTCATTGGTTCGTTGTAATTTTCGTACGCTGTTCGTAGTTGCATCGACTTCATCTTGAGCAGCGGCCAGTTCTTTCTTCAACTCCTCGACTCTCGCTCTCACTCGCTTCACTTCTGCCTCATATTGCTCAGACCGTCTCATCGCGTGCGATAACTCTGTTGTTTTTTCTGCTAAGGATTGTTTCAGTGCCGCTTGATACTGCTTCACTTCAAGTAATACCTGTGAATATTATGTGAAAAGGATAAAGTAATGGCGATGATTTTGAGAAACATTTCAATTTGACATAGAATTATAGCGAACCATGTTGCGAACTAGAATTTCATGCTGTAATTGCCTCGTGTCTGTGTCAGCTGTAGATACCGGTCGTGGTCGCCGTGATTCCATTTTCTCTTGCAATTCATATAATTTTAGACGAAGCAGCTTGTTTTCTCGTTCCAAAGAAATTTTTTCAGTCTCTAATCTCTCCCTTTTACTCCATTCTGCTGCATTTTCAACTTGAAGTCTTTCTAGCTGAAATTTTGTGATAAAAATATAAAAATATCTATAAGTAAAATTATATAATACAAAACACACACACATAGCGATGAGAGACAGGATTTAAAAAACTTCCTTAAATGATTTGTTTCTTTTCAAGAGAAAAAGTAATTACAAGTATATAGAATGTCTTCTTTTTTTTTTCTGGTTAGTGGCATGGAACAATACGCAATCTGTTCATACTGCCAGAGATTAAGCTTGTTATTGGGTATGAGTTAGATGTATTGTGTGCAAGTCAAGTATGATAGGGAGAGCAGTATATAGTTAGATAAGTATATTATTTTTAGAAAAAAATGAGCTGATTGAAAAAAGACCTATGAGTACTGTATGTGTGCTTATATCAATGTGTATGTATGTTGTGTAGTGTTCTGGTGAGTGTGTGTAGTGTACTGAATTCGGGAGTCCGGGGGATCGTTAATCCCCAGCAACTGTGCACAACAGTCACCCTCTGTGGGTATATATAATGTCAGTAAAAAAATTACTTACTTCTGTTCTCAATTCACTTAAACGACGATCCATACCCTCTCCATTACTAGTATCATCCATTAAATCAGCTATATGTTCATCATTAAGTTCAAGTTGAAATCGCTCTTTTAACTCAGACAATTCTCTCATTGTATCTGCTCTACTCTCACACAGTTCCTCACATTGTTCCCTTAATTGTTTAAGCTCAGCTTTCAATTTTTCCACAGTACGATGTAAAGAATCTTTTTCCCTTATAAAATAAAAGTAAAATAAATTTTTATTATTAAATAAAAAGCTATTAACGAGTTACTTTTGAACATTAATTTGTAACTTACTCTCTTTCTACAGAAATAGTTTTTGTTGCTTCTTCCAGTTTAAGTTGCAATGTTGACATTTTCTGTGTTAGGGATTCTTTGTTATACACATCTAAAGACAATTGTTGCTTCTCTAGTGTGTCCTTTTTAGCATTACTATCCACGACTAGTTTTGTGATATTTTTATCTAGTGAATCACTAGGACTCTCTTTATATAATTCCACTGCATGTTTTGGGACTGCACCTTGCAAAACATACTCCTCAATATCCCTTTCTGGCAAGATATTATGACCTGAAGCAACATCTGATGCTTCATGCAAAGTTTTACAGGAAAGTATATTTCTTTGAGTATTTAATGTATCACTGGATTCCATGTTACTATAAAACTCCAACTGTTCGTCTAACCCAAAGGTAGCTCTCAATTGTGGGTCTGATTCTAAAATGGTAAAGATCTGTTGGTCAAACTGCCCAGCATGTTTCAAGAGTATCATATGTATCTTTTCCATTTCTTTCTTTAGTTGCTCATTTTGCAGTTCCAATTCTTGGGACTCATGTTTGAAAGTGTTCGCATCTTTGACAGCAATTTCTAATTTTGCCCTGAGAGCTTTTGCTTCATCTCTAGCTGCGTTTCTCTCATTTCGAACTTTGCTCCATTTTTCACGCCAATTAGCAGTACAATCTGACCACCATCGCATTGTTTTTTCCATTTGTGCCGCTCGTGCTCTTGCCTCTTCAAGTTCCCTTTGTCGTAAAGCCTATTTGACAAGGAAACACACACAAAGCAATCAAATTAATTGATAAATAAATAACTGAATCTTTCAAGATATGTTACTTATAATTACTATAGAATAATTATTAAGATATTACTAAAAACTAATTGTTAAAAACTTTTACTCATATATAATTATATATAAACAATATAAAATTAGGATTAACAGATAAAACATTCTGAATATTGTAAGCATGGATTATATTGCTCCTTAAGGTGTTATTCTGTGACTCACATGAAAAAAAATATTCAATAATTTTCTAATTAGTCTACAGAATAAAATATAGAATTTGAAAAAAATTACCTCCTTGGACTCCCATTCGCTGTCCATATAACGTGATGAGGAGGGCATCTCGGGCTCCCTCATATATCGTCGTGAGGAAGTTCCGCTTGTTGTTGATTGTGCCATAGTATAAGCAACACGTAACCTAGTTCTTTTCACTGGTACTTTATATATCAGCGATCTCCTCGAATATTATTACTTACTTCATTAAAAATTCCACATCGATTTAATCAAACATCGTTCTTCCTTGTGTTCAATCGTGCCATTTAAATTTCATCTTCTTCTTGTGGAGGTTGACTCCGACGAGTAGAGTAGAGTCCTAGATTATCAGAGAAGCGCCAACTCTACCCCCACCATGTTACCGCCGCCATCTTAGGACACAAACGACAGTAGTGCTTATATATATATACCTTAGAACATATATAAATGGAAGGGGAATAGCAGGCTGAACCGATAGAAAATATATACAGGGCAGTAGTCTAGTTTTCACCGAAGTATTAATTCGCATCTAGCGCGGCGTAGGACCGCGGTTTCCACCGAAGTCATCGGTCCGATTCTGTTTCGGTGCGCATCGAATTTAACGTTTCCATCGACTTAAATTTAGTCCTACGCCGCGCTAGATGCGAATTGATACTTACGGTGGAAACTAGACCATTGCTGTAGGGCTGCGTTCGGAAACATCACCCGTGTGCACACGAGCGTCGTTCTATCTTTGTTATTTACTAAGGGTGCCATGTAATGGCACCCTTAGTAAATAATTCTGCAGTTTTTGTTATGCTCGCGATTGGTTCCCTTCTCGTTCCGCGTTACGCTAATCCGCGTTTCCGCGCTCCATGTAATGGCACCCTAAAAGTTGAACAAAGATAGAACGATGCTCGGGTGCTGTTTCCGAACGTACCGTAGGAGGTTAGGAGATATCGGTGACATCGGTACGCAAAATTATTTCGAAAAAAGTTATTTCATAGAAAAAGAAAATGCCAGGCCCATATTGTGTCTTATGCGGTAAACGTGATAAATCGAGTGATATAAAGCAAAAAGATTTTATTAGACTTACTTCCTTCCGACACTTTTCAGCCTGCTATTCCCCTTCCATTTATATATGTTCTAAGAGTGCGACGCAGTGCAAATGACCGAATTCGCTAATAGAGCGTTTTCCAGCAAGGTACACAAGGTTTGTTCGCATTGCTTGAAATTCCCAAAAAGTTCTGCACTGAAAACGAGATAAATATATATTCGGATGTTGAAGAAAATGAAAGCGAAGATACTGAGTGCAAAAAGTTCAAGCAACGCGAACAAACCTACAGATGACACAGGGCGTTTTCCAGCAAGGGTGCGTTCCGTTTCACGCATTGAGCGCATAGATTGCCTGAAAATCTATAATATATGTTACGTGAACTATAGATTTCTAAGCGATCTATGCGCTCAATGCGTGAAACGGAACGCACCCCAAGGTACACAGATGACACAGTGTACTACACATTATCACACGATTGGCTGTCAAATGAAGAAATTTAAAATTCTGTATTTGATAGCCAATCGCGTGATAATGTGTAGTACACTGTGTCATCTGTGTACTTTGCTGGAAAACGCCCACAGTGTACTACACATTATCACATGATTGGCTGTCAAATGAAGAAATTTAAAATTCTGTATTTTATAGCCAATCGCGTGATAATGTGTAGTACACTGTGTCATCTGTGTACCTTGCTGGAAAAGGTCCTCTATTATAAAGCTCACTGGGTATATATATACACACGTGGTGTCACAGTTTAAACTGTTTGATTAATAATCAGGACAAAAAGTACAAAAAAATTTTTTATCACAATCATATTTGATTGTGATAACATTTCATCGTGTAAGATATAACAAAAATGTTTGTGCTTGCGGAATTAAAAGACACTGTCAGAGTATTACCGAGCAACTTTAAATACAAACTAAATGATATTGTTGCTGACGAATTAAACAGAAAACTCGCTAATAAAGTACATATAAATTATTTTTAATTATTAAGATAAATTCATTATAACGCTGATGAAATTATTCTAAAAATTGTTATTATACAGGTTTACAAGGATGTAGGTCTTTGCATCGTGTTACATGATATTACGAAGATCGAAGAATCGTATATTTTTCCAGGAGACGGAGCTTCCCATACAAAAGTGACGTTTCGATTTATCGTGTTTCGTCCATGGATAGAAGAAATATTGATAGGAAAAGTTCGTAGTTCTAGCTCCGAGGGTGTACATGGTAACAATTTGATCTAGTTATCCAATTCAGTTTTTCATTGTATTCGTTTTTGTATTGTTATTAGTATTTATATTTCTTACAGTTACATTAGGATTCTTTGAAGATATAATTATACCACCACATAAGTTACAACATCCATCACATTTTAATCAAACACAACAAATGTGGTTTTGGGTATATAAGACTGAAGATGGAACGGAACATAATTTATATATGGAAACAGGTATATATCTCATATGAATATATGATTAGGATTAGTATATATTGGTTTAAACTTAAGCCATAAAATTGAAATATTTAACTTTAGGAGATGCTATACGATTCAGGGTAGTGGAAGAGGTTTTTGCAGAGGCACCTTTACCATCTACAGGTAATGCTCGTGATGTAGGCGAAGTGCCAGAAACCAATAACGTTGCACCATATGTTTTACATGTAAGTGGGTTTACGAATTTTTAATGTTACATTCATCAAAATATGCAATTCTCTATTTTTAACAATATCTGAACATATTTGGTAGGGATCAATTGACGAACCTGGTTTGGGTTTACTTATTTGGTGGAAAGATGTATAATTTATTTTATACATTAGTGAGAATCCTAAATAAAATAAAAAGGTATAATTATATTAAGTACAATAAACTCTGGTCAATAAATTTTTATTTTATAGCACATTCCATCGTATTATTCTGTATCGTCAATTAATGTTGCATCTCTGTGAATGGTATTTCATAATATGACTTAGTTTTTCAATATAATTTCACCTGTGTATATATATCTATACTCAGTTTTGATTGATAACAGAATTATCAAGTATAATTTGTACAATATGTACAAAGGCATTATATGTGCTAAACATGTTACAACACGTAGAAATCATATTTGCACACAATTATCAGATTGCTTTGAGAGATTATCTACTTCATTTACTATATCAGAACTCAATTTAATAGAATAAATCTTAGAATTGAATGCTAGAACTATTATACTCTATATCACTGAGAAATACACAATATTTTGACAAAACTGATCTTAAAGATGGATTTTATGTTAATGGAAAGTACTATGCAGTGTGATATATATTGTGCAATAAATATTTTCTAAATTTAAGATTTTTTATTAGCAAAATAGCTTACCTAATTACATTGTAATATATACTTAATTGATAACAACACAGGATACAACTAATGAAAACTCTTAAATTTAGAAAATACTGATTGCACAATATATACTGCACTGCATATTTTGAAGAGTTGCATTTTAGACAAATTAAAATGTATTCTTTGGTATGTTATTGCTGTTGTTCTAATATACAACTCAAACATGCAGCACTTGATTAAATTAATAAATATAGCTTATAGCTTAATCATAAATTATGATACATTAATAGAGCCTACTTATTTAATGCAATGTTAATAAAGGGCATATAATTACTTATATCGACGTAATAAATTATTAAAATTATCCACTTAAAACACATGCAAAACATCTTGCCTAATTATGTTACATTCATATATGTATACTTAGTCAAAAACCACAAAGAACATATCTAGCGAAAAAATCTTAAATTTAAAAAACACTAATTGCACAGAGATATATTTGTATATATATTTATATATATATAAAGGTAACGTATGAATGACGATGTATCGTAGGTGCAATAATAGTGAACCTCGATTCTCCGTCTACAACACGTATCATCAAACGAATAACACGAATCATGTATTCATGAATAGATTGCTGAGGGTAAAATGGCTTGGAATGTTACTTCTGTGTAATCAGTATCTGCTATGTACTTTCTTTCAAGCAACATGTGTAATGTGTTGCAGCTATAATCGCAAAAAATGGGACAATGCGCATTTGTAAATAGGCGCGTTCGGCGGAGGCAACAATCGAGTAACAAATATAATCGATACATATTTGAATAATTATTCAATTGCTTCGCCACTTTTGCGTGCACCTCAGTTGACTTAACTGTTTAGATGTATGCGAACCAATTAGAATTACGTACAATATAAATTTATCACAGTCCTAACTGTTGAGTCTCTTGTCGTACGTTTACTCGAGCTTCCTCTACATTACTAGGAGGCAAAAAAAGAAGGATTCGCTGATCTCTTCTTTCTGATGCGTTATCAATCTCTTCTAATATACAATATCGAAAGAATTCGCTTCTGTACAAGATCATTACAATGCGTAGGCATAAGAGTTTCTTTTCTACTTCGTCTAACCGTTGTTAGACACAGATTGCAATCGTACATGCCCGTAATGTATGATTACATGGCCGGATGAAAAAATATGAACCAAAGTGCAAAGTGGGACGTTAGTGTATTAAAAATGTCTATGCATTAATATTTTGCACATTTTGAGGGCTAGTGTTTTTTTTTCTTAGACCATTACGAGGAAAAAACATATTGTTCTTTCATATTATTTGGACGTCAATTGCTTCTTATCTGTCTATACTGCTCCCTTCAATTATACCATCTTTATTTTTCGTTCGAAATATTGCTTTCTGCGAAATTCCGCAATTAAAATCTACTCTTCGCAGCTTAACACTTTTCGTTTGACACATACATTTATTCGCATATAAAGAATCTTATTTTGTCGCGGATATTACATTCCTCATTAAACATCGTTTATTCGATGATTAGGCAACGCGGTAGATGTTCACGTAGGTAATCAAACAGTTCTCGCGATGTTCCTGGACAATTAGTTAGTTCTAACTCATGTAAGTGTCGAAGCTGTATTAGACTGGATAAACCACTACTTGTGAGCAATGGGCAACCTATATAAAATGGATCAAAAATATATATATATAATTAGATCTGCATAATTTTTTTATGCACCTTTATATATATTGTGTGTGTGTGTGTGTGTGTGTGTGTGTGTGTGTGTGTGTGTGTGTGTGTGTGTGTGTGTGTGTGTGTGTGTGTGTGTGTGTGTGTGTGTGTGTGTGTGTGTGTGTGTGTGTGTGTGTGTGTGTGTGTGTGTGTGTGTGTGTGTGTGTGTGTGTGTGTGTGTGTGTGTGTGTGTGTGTGTGTGTGTGTGTGTGTGTGTGTGTGTGTGTGTGTGTGTGTGTGTGTGTGTGTGTGTGTGTGTGTGTGTGTGTGTGTGTGTGTGTGTGTGTGTGTGTGTGTGTGTGTGTGTGTGTGTGTGTGTGTGTGTGTGTGTGTGTGTGTGTGTGTGTGTGTGTGTGTGTGTGTGTGTGTGTGTGTGTGTGTGTGTGTGTGTGTGTGTGTGTGTGTGTGTGTGTGTGTGTGTGTGTGTGTGTGTGTGTGTGTGTGTGTGTGTGTGTGTGTGTGTGTGTGTGTGTGTGTGTGTGTGTGTGTGTGTGTGTGTGTGTGTGTGTGTGTGTGTGTGTGTGTGTGTGTGTGTGTGTGTGTGTGTGTGTGTGTGTGTGTGTGTGTGTGTGTGTGTGTGTGTGTGTGTGTGTGTGTGTGTGTGTGTGTGTGTGTGTGTGTGTGTGTGTGTGTGTGTGTGTGTGTGTGTGTGTGTGTGTGTGTGTGTGTGTGTGTGTGTGTGTGTGTGTGTGTGTGTGTGTGTGTGTGTGTGTGTGTGTGTGTGTGTGTGTGTGTGTGTGTGTGTGTGTGTGTGTGTGTGTGTGTGTGTGTGTGTGTGTGTGTGTGTGTGTGTGTGTGTGTGTGTGTGTGTGTGTGTGTGTGTGTGTGTGTGTGTGTGTGTGTGTGTGTGTGTGTGTGTGTGTGTGTGTGTGTGTGTGTGTGTGTGTGTGTGTGTGTGTGTGTGTGTGTGTGTGTGTGTGTGTGTGTGTGTGTGTGTGTGTGTGTGTGTGTGTGTGTGTGTGTGTGTGTGTGTGTGTGTGTGTGTGTGTGTGTGTGTGTGTGTGTGTGTGTGTGTGTGTGTGTGTGTGTGTGTGTGTGTGTGTGTGTGTGTGTGTGTGTGTGTGTGTGTGTGTGTGTGTGTGTGTGTGTGTGTGTGTGTGTGTGTGTGTGTGTGTGTGTGTGTGTGTGTGTGTGTGTGTGTGTGTGTGTGTGTGTGTGTGTGTGTGTGTGTGTGTGTGTGTGTGTGTGTGTGTGTGTGTGTGTGTGTGTGTGTGTGTGTGTAAAAAAAAGTTGCATAAAATTATGATTTAGAGATGATATGCGATTTTACCTGCCACAGACAACACCTGCAGAGATCTCATAACGCATAAATGTTGAAGTCCGAAATCCCTAAGTTGCGAACACCATCTTAAAAACAAGGCGTTCAGCGAGACCATCGTGGAGATGTAACCCACACCAATATCCGTGATGTGTACACACCTGTATAATAGTATGAAAAGAAGATACAAAAGACACATAAATGCTGTCCCGAAATAAATTACACCGCACATGTCAGAAGTACAAATAGTAGACAAGACGCACGGATTTATTACCATGGCAAATAGTCGCTTGGCTAAAGATAATTACGGATCTAGTACTTCTACGATTTTCTGTCACTTTGTGACATATGAGTCAGTCTTTATGTAATGCGTGATCTTAAATAGAATGTCTAAATAAATACTAATCAGATAATTAAAAGATCCTTAAAAGATGTCTTCCAAAAGTTATACACACAGTTTTCTTTAATAGAATACGTCTTCATTTTAATAACATTAATGTTTTCTGAATAAGAAAGATATGTAAGAAAATCTATGTCTATAAAGTATGATGCTTCAACACACAGCATATTATGCGATGTAAAATACAACATTTTTTTATACTTTATACAGATGGTGATTTTTTAGAGGCGTACTATATTTGCTGTTAATTATCTGAAAGTGATATTTTGAAAAATATTCTAATAATTTTCTCTTACCTATCTAATGTGAGTTCTTCTAAATTATTCAAATCACAGGCAATATATTCTAAGGCTGCATCTGTAATCCTTGAGCACCAGCTCAGATCTAAGGAACGAAGTCTTGGCAAGTTTTCCGCGATTAATTCGACACCGTCATCTGTCACTTTACTGCATCCAGAAAGTGACAGCACAGTCAGATTGGGTAAAGAATGTACTAAAACAAAGACAAACACATTAATTTAATATTTCTAAAAAAAATACATATGCAAGTGTAAAGACTTTAGGATTATATGCAAAAAGATTTTTAACGATATATTCGATAGTTTTTTTATCATTACATATATCTTACTTTTATTCTTTAGAGTAAAAGTTATAAAGCATATTTATAATTTTATGTTGATGTTTATCATTTATTTATCACATTATTATTTTAATTATTTTATAAATATAATTAATATAAATAAAATTAGTGAAATGATAATATAAATAAATTTTACGTTTTAGAAAAACACAAATATTTGAGATATAAAATTTTAGTCATAATTTTCTTTTACGACATCCTATTTAAATAATGGTATCAAATCATTGTGTCCGTAAAATATGCACATGTGTACCTCGCTATAATTCGAGTCTGAATTACCGGTGACAATTTGAAAGCTAAATAAAGCTGTGTTCTTTAATTCTAAATTTAATCCTAAATAAAAGCACGTATGCACCTGTCTTAATTTCGGCCTATCACTATTGTACGTCTCATTTACCTTTAGCCTTCACAGAAAATCTCGGACACAATTTAAAATTGGCGAACAGCCCACGGTTTTCAAGAATAATCATGTAATCTATACGTAATTATAATTTAATGTGAATTGTCATCCTCTGATTTTAACAGAAGAATAAAGTTTTATTATTTATTTAAATTGAAATCATTTTTTTTATTTATGAAGTTAAAGCAATATTTATCGATAGTTTTATATGTATCAGTTTTGTTGCATCTGATATTATTATGTAACATCACTATATCTCGAATATACTGCAACGGCTCAATTAAAAAGATAAATCTATATATCAAAAATATCAAAATAACAGAAGATAAAGATTCTCACCAATATTTACTACGCCGTGATTTGTGAGCTCCCAGCAGGATTGCAGTTTCAAGATGCTGAGCGCGCTGCTTTGTTTTGCACTGAAGTAACCAAGCGCAGCATCAGTAACATGATAAGCTTGCAGAGAAAATTCGTAGAGGCTTGGCAATAGCTGAGCCACGGCGCCGACGGCCTCGTCGGCCACATTGATGCAATCCGACAAAGACAATGATACTATTCTAGGGGTGAGGCATGCCCATAATCCAGCCTCCGTTATTTCATTGCAGCCGGTTAATTCAAGTTCGTACAAAGCCTGAAAATAATTACAAAAAATTGTATTCATATAGTTCTACTCTACGTAATACCGTTAACTAACTCTATCATTTAAACGGAACTGTACGTAAATATATTAATTTATATTACATAATTTATATTTACATTATATAAAAATTTTCCTTTTTATCGATTTTTAAAGATCTAATTATATAATTTTGACAATAAGAGGAATAAATTATTTTAATATTTATAGCAATAAAGAATTAATAGCGAATCTGAAAAAATTTGATACTTAAAAGAGCTTCTTCAACTTTGTTTTTATAGACATTTTAATTTATTCTCATAAACATATTTCATTACTATCTCCAAAAATTCTATTTTTTGTATTTTAATTATATTTATCCGCAATTATTATGGAATTGTAAATTCACGAGAAATCTCTGGTTTATTTGGAGCCAATACAGCAAACAACATGTAAAGATAGAAAACATATGTAAATTTACCTGCAAGTGATCCAAAAGAGTCTCAAGACCTCTGTCCGTTACCGCGCAGCATCGTAATGACAAAGAATGCACGTATCGTTGTGCCAACGGAAAACCGCGCGTTAATTCCGGAATATCTTCATCGGTCGCAGCTAGGAGGACTAAGGAGTCAAAACCTCTTCTTACTAAGGAAGCATATAATCGGGTACGCGAGGTCGGCTGCATAGCGCGAGCTTCGCGACATCGTATCACTGGTACCAGACCCGTCCAAAGACGCGGTCTCGCGTACAGAATATCTCTCCATCTCGTGCAAACCTGCGTACAACGATATGATATAATTATTCTACGAAGAGATACAAAGTAGGTGTATTATCGAGAGACAAGCCATATAGCAGTTTAAAGATAAGAGGGTTGAATTAGAGCAAATGTGAGATTTAAAAATTTGACATTTACTGGCAAGCTAACACAATTATAAAGAAACTAAAAGTCATATATTTTAATTTCAGAATTTACATTTTTAAAATATATGTTTCTACGAGATATATTTATAGGGCAATACTTCGCGTGGAAGAACAATGATATAGAAAATAAAATCTCTTTTTTTAAAACTAAGTTTCATGTATGTGTGTTAAACATTACTACAAAAATCTAAAGGAATTCATGTATTCGATAAAATTGTAAGTTTGCTTGTATTATTTATTTATATTTTAATAATGGATTGTGAATGGGGAATTGCATCCGCCATATACTTGAGCCAAAATCCTTCTTTCTGTGGCGTTGAAATAGAGAAAAAACCGCCCGAGGAAATTGTCATCCTGCATCAGCTGCTCCCACGTGATCGGTGGCACATAGCCGCCGGTTCCTCCGCTGGCTAGCGGTACAGTCATCTTTATTCTGTTCCTGGATATCCTGGCTCTACTCGGGGTGACATTATTCAAGCGTTCCTTATTGTTGCCCGCCGGTACATTGTTGATACTCTGCGCGATGCTACGGCTGGGCTTTTCGGGCGTCGTATTCGCATTATTCGCGCTTTGTAAGTTCATATAAGCGACACTGCCGCTTCCACCGCAAAAGACATTTGTCACGCGTTCCATGACGCTGGTCTTTCCGCCTCCTGAAAATTTCAGATCGATTTTAATTCATAGTTAAAAAAATCAGAAAATGTGCACATTTGATCGTAAAAATTAAAGAAAGTATAAGTAAAAATTTTAGAACTACATGCGAAATTCAAGAATGTGTGACGCTAAAAATTTATGAAAGCGATGATTTGCAAAACTGAAAGTGAAGGGAATTTGTGGAGAAAGTTTATGGAACTTGGAATATTATAGAACAAAAAGTACATTATTAAAAATTATAAAATATTTAAGTAACAGGATCTCTTTAAAGATGCACTTACTGCAAAATATAATGATATAACATAGTAATTTATTAGCCGTATCAAAGGATAAAATTTTTCGATAGCTTTTGAATTGATACCATGAGCATAATAATATTATAATTTTTCGTTAGAGGAAAATCTGAGACAACTCAAGATTCCCCTGAATATTCTTGTTTTATTTCATAGCTGTACGTCCTATTTGGCTCGCGGCACACCGCTATTTCCTGTTTGCCATTTATCTTGCAAATTATTTTTATTTTTAGTAAATGCATTTGAGAGATATAATAGTTTTATCCCAAGTCATGATAAAAAATCAACTAATCATATTTAATAAAGACCAATATAAGCGAAATATTATTCATGTAAGATGTTTTTTTGTATGTATTCGTGTATATATTTATGCGATATAAATTTGTATTCTGTATTTAATTCTGCGATCGATGAAAAATGATATGAAAAACGATCTGTAATCTATCAATTTAAATTTAAATCAACGATCAAATCAAATGGTTAATAATTTGATTTTCCTTTCTTATATCTTAGCATATATTAATCTTATTATATGAGTATATTTAGCAAAGGCGAAAGGGAGATCCTAGGTTTATGCCTTTTTTGCTCAGAACCAAATCCGTCTCTGGTCAGGTTGATCACGGTTTTGCTGACCCGGGACTGGCATCTATCCAATCACGAAGATTGCCTATTTGCGCATCTAAACGTAAATGCGGTCGACCCAAAGAGAGACGATGCGTCTTTAAACTGCCGAAAGTGGCGATCAGCTGCAACGCGAATCATATCGGCACGTTTAAATCAAATTTGGATTCAGGACATCTGATCCTCAAATCATGACTACTTGGATGCAATTATTTTAACAATCTAATGCTAATGAATCAGGCAGTCGCGATTATTGCGAAACGTGATGCTAAACGGCTGAGTAAATATGCGCCTCTAAGGCGTCTCGTTATGTTTAAGTCCGCCACTATTTTCGCGTGCACGAGAACGTGTACATATCGATTCCATTGCAGTTAAAATTGCGACGACGAAAGTCACGTAGCAGTATCGCTTAATAAATTACGGAAAAAATATCGCGTGTAAAGTAACAGCGCGAGATTTATTCCCGCCCTTGTAACAAACGCGTCATATATTATTGACGCTATTGGATAAGTAAAGAAAAAAAAAAGGGAGAAACAAAAAGGAGAAAGACGATTTATCACAAAGAAATCAATCCTTTATCGCGATTACGTAACAACAGGATTGAATCGAAAGGTTTAACGTCGTTCGATTCGGAACGCATTAAGTGAGAAAAATCGTAGGGTCGACATCAGCAACCCTTTACCGCTCGTCTTTATTTTTCATCGCCGTCCAAGCGGAAGATGAACTTGACACCGATCCGAAGCGAGCGATCTTCCTTCTCGTCTCTGCTCCCGATAACACGGAAAAAAAAGTCGGAGCTGACGCGAATTCAACACGGAATCTACATGACGCGTCGTGTTACGCACGCTACCACAAGCAGGAAGTGGTGGTGGTGGTGATGGTGGTGATGGTGGTGGTGGTGGTGGTGGTGGTAACATATAATAGGGGAGCTATAGAAGAAGCAGGTGAACAAAGGTGACAGTAACAAAACACAAGGATGGAAAAGAAATACGGCGAAGATATGAGAACGTTTCACCACCGACCATGATGCTTCGACGTCCGCAATCCCAGGCCGTTAATTCGCTTGGTCAGTTCGGCGCTGGCACGCTCGACGACACCCTGCGCTGATATCGAAGACATGATTCCTCGATGGAGTACTCGTCAGCTCTCGTCCCGTCCCACACTTGTTTCTCGATGCCCGTGATTCGTAGTCAAGAGTAGCACAGCTCGGTTTGCGAATAACGAAGTCGCATCATATTTGACGGCTTGATGGTGATGGTCGGATGTAGACAAAGAACGAGGTTTCCTTGCGAATAATAACGCCGCGCGCCGGCGGCGCTTCCTATTCGCGCGACGCGCTTTCAAGGGGATGATGACGATGATCACACGTTGAGGGGATGACGAGAGCGCGCGCTTGCTCCTCTTTCTTGGCGCACGTCGTCGCGCGTAATGATTCTCTCTCTGGATTTTAGAAAAAATAAGGAAAAATAAACACGCGTCACTCTCTGAATCAATAATCACGATCGACGCGATATAATCCTAACATTCACGGAATATATGTGATACACAGTTAGCGTCGTCAACGATAATGATGATAGCAATCTCGTCGATTTCGTACGTTCTTAACGTGTTTTTAACGACGACGTCGGGCCACTTTGCATTGACAATATCATCCGCGTCGTCGTGCGTTTCTGTTTATTACAACGGGCATGGTAGCAAAGCGGAGTACAAGCGCGCTGCAGGCAACACATGGGGGTGGTTTGCGCGAGACTGAATCGATATTCGCACTACTGATCTTGTCCGGCTGCTTTTTCCCCACCCCTACTGGGGGTCTACAAAGCGCGTGTCAGCCGCTTATGCCTGCCGACTGATGAACCGTCCGACAGAGTCGCGCGCTTGGTCGCATACAACTTGTGTTTACCCTTCGAGCCGCTTGACATTCTTTTATACTCGGTGTTCCGAAAATTGCAATTGGGCATTGGGATGAATAAATCAACTATCAAAGAGATATCATATTTTTAACAGAGAAAGATACTAACATAAGTTCAAAATGTTAACAAAGTTAAAAGATAGACTATGAGATTCTATTGATTCAGGTTTTCGGAACACCTTGTATTTATCGATGACGTCCGAACGACGTCAGTAGCTAATGTTATCTTTTTGTAATAATACATTATTGAATATTTCTTCTATATATTGTACAAAGGATAGAAGTTCTTTCCAAGGAGATAGGTCGCGATGTGGAAAATTTAATTTATGAGGTGATTAATGAGAAATTGTATAGTATTCATTTTAACATTTATACATCGTTGTATTGGATGTAATATCTCTGATTTTTGCAATGTAAAAAAAGTTTCATGTTTACGCTATCTTCAGACCAGCAATGGAATTCTCTAAAAGCTTAATAAAGAGAAAAAAAATAGAGATTAGAATATATCATAATTAATACTGAATATTTAGTTAATACTGAAGTAACACATATGACACAAATTACCTTTAAGTCCCAAACTACAAGTTGTCCATCTAAACTGCTTGTGCTAAATTCATGATCGGTTACCCGACGAACGCAGTTGATTGTATTTTGGTGCACGCTATCTAAAGCGTTATCATTCGTCTCGTTCCTCGCTTGCCGATCTAACGATTGGAACTTCCGCATGGCAGATAATCCGGCAATCTCTTTTTTCTGTGTGTTATCCAACTTTGACGCAAAGTATATTTGCCCGTTGTCGTCTATAGAGTACAACATCGGCATACAGCTATGCCCCTATGTGAGTGGAGGTTCTTAGTTAATACAGTGAACATAAATCGTATAATTTGAAGAGTTACATTGCTTACTGCGGCAACAATATTATTAGATCCTATCCAAATGCAACTTAGAAACGGTAAATGCTCTGTATACAGCCTCACGACTGCATTTCCTTTAGTAGCGTCGGCGATACATATAGATGAGTTGTGCGCCACCCAACAGATTTTATTGCCACATGGGCTGAACATTACTGAATGTATCCAGCCACCTAAATACATAAATAATTATATATAAAATAATTATATAAAATATTATATAAAATTCAATTTTTCAAAATAATTAACAATTCTGTATTTTTCAATAATAAATAATAGAAAAAGTTTTACCTCCATTGGGTGTATTAGGAAACTCAGCCAATAAAGTTCCTAAAGTATTACTCTGTCCCCAAGGAGAAATACCAGGGGCATCCTCCATATCACTGATAAATGCACTGAAGACACGGACTTTATAGTCCGTAGATCCAGCAACCAGAACCTTGTTACCTGGATGCCAGTCAACGGTAGTTACCGTAGACCTTAATGGACGCTTTATATGTTTACATAACCACCAGTTATTCTCTGATACAAAGTAACAAACAGCTATAACTCGTCCCCCGGAACCAACAGCAAATTTGTTTTCTGCAAAGACAATCGTACAGAAATAAAATAAAAGTATAAATTCAAGTACAAATTCTGTGAGTATATACTCACCTAGAGGAGACCATTTTACGCAAGTAGCAGCACGATTTATTCGTAGGAGAACCCATGCAGGATCCCACTTGCCATCATCTTTTTGAGTCCACACATAAGCGTTTTTATCCGCAGAACAGGTGACTATGCGATTGGTCTTTGGCGCCCAGTCAATTCCCATGACAGCCATGTGATGTTCCTCCATGGTCTCCAGCAGCTTCCATCCGGATGAAGTACGTTTATGTACCTGGATCTCATTGTTGTTTGGACATATGGCAACTTCTGCAAAAACGAGAATCGATTATGGCTTCCGGCAATTAGATGTTTAGTACCCAATAATATCAGATACATAAAAGTGGACCTCCGTACCTGTTCTATCTCTATTCCACGCATGACAACTGATGGCCTCGACACCGAAGTTATAGACCTCCGTCATTTCGTGCTGGCTACTTGCTAAAAGGACGCCTCGGGACGCCTAGTGCGTAAACGAAAAATCAGCAAATCGAACAACGGGGACGTCCAAGGATAGCGGCAATGAATCAGCGAACACTTGAGACGAATGGAACTTGAGACGGGCGCGGTCGCTGATTAAACTTTATCAAACAAGAATTCCGGCGTCCGGGCAATTGTATATACCGGACAGCACTCACGGAAATTCGCGGACTCTGGTCAGTCTACACGAATTTCCCCGGTCTCTCTGACGGTCGCAAAACACGCCCCTCAGCACACCGGAATTGACAGTTCATCCGTAGATAGCGGGTTATCTGTCTCCGCTTCGAGGTTATGTTGTCCCGGATGTACGTATTGCACTGTACGCGCCTCCCGCTAACCATGTTTTTACACTTTTATCAGCGACGACCTCTGTCGAGCGTGGGCTAAAAGAAAACTAGGGAATTTAGGTAGATGAGAGTGACTATTTTTCTTGAAATATTTTCTTCAGTCGAGTTTCCTCTCTAGATTACCGCCGTAGAGTTTGCAGAGAAATTAAATATTTTCTAATTATTTTATATTATATAATTTGGGAATGTTTGGGAAAGTTTAGGAAAATCATTTTAATATTTAAGCCTATCACACACAAATTGACATAACTGGGGTGCGTTCCGTATTAACGTCCGGACGACAACTTTTTATCCAAAACCGTTCCGTTTACCAAGGTGTAACAATAATTTAAGAAAGAAAGATTATCTTAAAAAACGTTAATATTGAAGAAATGCTATCTCTTTGAAATCCAGAGGACCTCGCTTTACAATGTAGCATGTAACGGGCCAAAATCTCGTCGTTAAATATATCGTTAACAGTGATAGTGACAGCAGTGGGACTGCACATGTTACAACAATTAGTCACACAATTTCTGTGGATGTGACAAAATCGGATGTGGCTACAATATAATCTATACTTGCCATTGCATTATAAAACATAGGTATGCTTCCTGCTTGAAATAAATTCAAGATAGGAAAATTATTAATAATGTAGATGTGTATATTTGTTTTTATAAACATAAGCATATATATATATAGTGACAAAGATTAAGACGCAGTACATTTTCTTAATCAGAATTTTTATATACTTTTCGTAAAATAACAAAGTTATTTTATAAAACGTAGATAAAATACTAAGAAGAAATGTATTGGTTTATTACAAGATATATTAAATACATAAACTAAATTTTTTATACACATGTACAATTACAAAATGGTCAACATATTTTCAAAATTTTAATAATTATTCTAAATATAATTCTCACACAAAATGTAATAACGTTTATATAACAAAAAATATAAAAAAATTTTGTTAAGATGTCTGTGGAATTGAACTTGAGTTTACTGCGTGATAGATTGAACACTCTTGCACTGAGCCATCACATATTTCTTGTAAATTCTTTCATATTATCAGTATTTATGTAGCAGATATTTTTACGCGATAATATCGATATAATCGAAAAGAAATCAAGATAGCATATTTGTCGGTCTATAAATTTGCAATTACTGAAAGATAATGTAAGCCAAGAATTAACAATCGTTCTCTCCTTGTCGCTCTATCATGCTGACAATACATAAAGTATCGATGAAAAGCAACAAGTAAAAAAGCAATAAATTGCCAAGTCTAAGAAGTGCCCGTATCTCTTACACGTTGTATATTAGTTCACTCTATTAGCTATTATTCTACTAATATTATTTATCATTGTGCAATTTTGAAACATATGTAACATTTCTATATACTATTGGTATATATCTGTACATATGCGCATAAGTAAACATAAAATTTATAAAAAGTGGGCGCCCATTAGTCTTGTTGCATTACTGCTTTCTGCTACGAGAGGCCAGAAAGCATTTTCAGGCCATATCTCGGCCGTAAAGCGATACGTTAGAGGAACAAGGATAGCATGATCGTTGATCCTTTTCTATCTTTCCTCTCCACGGTGCGTCCACGCTAGCAATGCAATCGTATGTGTGCGTATACAGACATACACCTATACATCGAGAATGAGAATTCATTCCTCAGCGTTGGTAACCCTGAAACCTGAGTTTCACATTTTCACCGCGCGAGATCTCCAATGTTAATTCGGAGTTTGCCCGTCACTCCTGTCGACCCTTAAATAGTTAGATTACAGTTAAATTTAGTTACATTAGAATTTGCAATTACGAATATTATTTTATAGAGTGTTAAAATTAATATTGTTTCCATATTAAAGGCTCTTTACATACATAAATTAGTGTAGATAATATAATTTGAGTGCGTAATTTATAGTTACATGTATATGAGCTATATACTATACATATAAACTGATAAAAAATTTTGAACATCTTGTTTAAGGATTTATTTCTTCTATAACGTTTTGTGTTAAAATAATAACGTATTATATATCATGTATTATGCTATGTAATTCTAAAGTTGTTATTGATATACTAATAATTTTAAAGATAATTCAAAAACATTAATAATACAGTTATGATTAAAGATCCCATATAAATATTAAGTATAAACTTTTTAATAGAAAAAAATTCGGCTTATATTTTTTTCTGGTATAATAATTATATTTTCTGTAAAACAATAAGTATATTCTTATATCATAAAAACATGAAATTGTGCAACGATAGTGTGCTCATCTGCAATAAGTAAACGAATAAAGTTCATTTATTTCTTAGTACTCATTATTATTCTTATTATTTTATTGCATAGTAGTACATGTTAATTATGTTAAAAGTTATATATTGATTGGATCTTATTGTTTGGAGTTATATCTGATATTGCTACATCATACTTTTATGCATACAAATCAAAAGTTGTAACTGTTAGATAACATTTTATTCTATTTGATGGAAAGGGTGGAATTTTTTTTTCTTTGACTATGTAAATCTAAGATGAATAATTAATTTTTTTTTATGTTATTGTATGGATAAAAGTTGAATATCATATTATATGATAAATATATTGTTCTCATAATACCGGTGTATCTTACATTCACAATTATCAAATTTAATAAATATATGTATCAGAAACTTATAAAACACAATAATAGTAATAAGCTGTGATAATATCGTATAATGTAAGATATCTATATTAATGGTTATATAATAAAATAAATTGTAACAAAAACTCATTTTCTCTCTCTCTCTCTTGTCTCTTCTTAATATATATAATAAATGTTTGAAAAATTAAAATACTAAGTATTAAAACGTTTTCTAAGATTAGCAAAAGCAGAAGTACAACAGTTTGTGAATAGGTATTTTATTGTAGGAATGATTTGGAGAGATGTTTTTTTATTATTGTATTATATTATTTTTTTAAACACTCAAGTATGTATGAGAAATACATGTTACAAATTAAATTGTATATTGTATTCATTAATGTAATAATAGATATACAAATACAATATAACTTAAGAAAAATATGATTTATATGATTTATTTAATATAATCTACTAATTAGAATTTATATGCCTTTGTGTCGCGTCAAAGTCTGCTCAATGACTGTGCATTAATATTACCTATATTACCTTATAGTGAAGTATTGTGGGATGTTACTTTTATCTCGCGTGTGTATGTGCATATATATACATATATGTATATATATGTATGTATGTATGTATGTATACACACACACACACATACATGCATGCATATTTAGATATATTAATTATTCATTCAATAAATTTTAACAAGAGATAGCAATATATTTTTACCTGCAATGCCAGCAATTGCTTCTGAAGCAAAGTACTTCACATCCACGTCGCTATCAGTGTTCAATTTATCGAGAATAGGTTTTACTTGAGTCTGGACCGCTGAAGGTTCGAGAAAAGGTCCAATTCGTTGGAAAGTTTTAGCGACATTAAATTTTACATTTGCAACGTTATCAGTAGCCATTGTCAATACCGTTGGAAGCATTACCTTTGTTGTTATCTCTGGACCACACACTTCAGCTAGAACCTATTATAAGAATTGTATAAATTGATTTTTTCTTTTTTGAATATATGTTACTATTACAATCTCTGTTTCAAAGCCGTATAACGCAATAAGCTTACATTAATGCAGAACAAGCATGTCATTCTGTGAAGATAGTTCTGATCCCTAGACATAGCCAAGACTTTGGGTATTACTGTATTCTGTGCCCATTCGGGACCAAACTTTTCTACCAGTTTTTTCAGATTTAAAGTAGCTGCTTCCCGAATTGCGTAAACATGGTCCACCAACCAAGTCATACATAAAGAATTTAATTTCTCGTCAAAAAATTCTACTCCAAGCTGTCCAGCTAACAATGGCATATACCTAAAATGTCAAATCAGTAGTAAAGTATATTGCTATCTTATTCTTTTCTTTTAACTCCAATAGTATAAATTAGATAAATTAACATATATAATTACTCAATAATAGCTAGTCGCACACGCCATTTAGAATCCTCAGCTAATTCCACAATGGCAGGTAACAGGGATTGTGAAAGTTGTTGTATGCCAATATCTTTGTTAACGCATTTTTTTGCGCCATGATTGATCACTAGCACATTGCCGAAGTGTAGGCATAACAAACTGTTCAACATCTTCTTGTTGTAACAATGCTGCAATACTAACACAAGCTTCAACAACCAAAAGACGAACTGAATCCTGTAAAATTGTTAGTGCAAGTATGATAATCAACATGAAAAGAATTGTGAAATTTCATAGTTTTAATGAACTTACTTGTTCATCCTGAGCGAGGATAACAAACATAGGAATTAAATCTGATTTAAGATATTCGATTTCCACAACTTTTGCAAATTCACCTAATTTAGACGCAGCTGATCGTCGTGCCATGGGTGTATCATCCTGGCACAAGCTGCGAAAGTGATTTCGCAATTCCGCTATAACATTCATGTTTGCAACATGTTTTCATATTTATTCTGTATTAAAAACTTATGCAACATGGATTTGCAAGAAAGATAAAATTATTGTACAATTACCTTTGATTGCTGGACTCACTCTTGGATAGCAAACACTGAACAATCCACATGCTGATGTTCTTGACGTAAACCAGTCTCCTGAAGCTAAGCGCTGTACCAAAGGAACAAAATGTTCTTCCAAATCTGCAGGACTGTGTTGGCTTACAATATTTCTTAAAGATTCCACTGCTTTATCACGAACCACAGTTTCTTCGACAGTGGCCAGAGATTCTAATGGTGGCTACATTAAAAATTTATAATTTATATTTCTTTGATAGAACAGACAAGACAAATTACTGAAATGAATCTGGGACTTATGTTAAACACTGTTCAAAAAAATCTATTGCTATTACCAATAAACAATGCACATATTCTGGTCCACCAACGAGAGGAGTAAATGTGCCGAGTTGCTCAGCCAATGCAAGAAGGACTTCATCTTCATCATAAATAGTCTCCGTTAAAAATGGTATTAGCTCACTCCGTGTTCGTTCAATACCTAATGCAAGTGCAATTGTTGATAGCTTCTTGATAGAATTGAGACGTAGCTATAATGAAAAAAATAACTTATCAGAATGCTTATAATGTATATCAACATATGTAGGAATAGCAATAAAAATTATTGTTTTGTACTCTGACCGTCTAAAAAGTTTTAATCAGGCTTCTCTCTTTTAAACAATCACACCAACGCGTTTTCAATTCTATGTTATACGTATTATCTTTAAGATCGTTATATATCGTGCATAAACTCCATGAAGGATATTACTAGCTTTTCTTTCCGCTAGTATCGCTATGTCGGCAACGCTTTGTTTAGAGATCAGATGACGGGAAAACGAACATTTCGGAAGAAGAGGAGGAAATAGAAAATTCACTCTTCATAATCATCGTAAACAACAATTACCTGGACGTCCTCATTTTTTAGCTCGTCGATCAGAACCGCAATCGGGTAAAGGCTGTCGTCCGTAATAGATTCACTCGCTGCCATTTTGCTGCCGGACACACTGGCAATCATGGTGTAAGTACTTATCGCTATATAATAGGGTAAATACAAAGAGGATTAGATAGAGTGGAAGGTAAGCGTATACAGCGATCAATGCCATCTACCGAGTCTGATGCCCAATTACTTAGCTTCTTCTTGTTCAAATTCGATCGCAACTATTAAAATTTATTATGTAACACATTTCACTTTGATCAAAAAGTGACATTGATTGCATGAAATGAGTGCTTCCATCAATACGAATTCTATATCGCGTAATATCGGGAATGGGAGATATACACTTAGGGCATCAGACTCACGAGAGGGCACTGAAAACTGTATACGCAAAAATACATTACGCTCTTATGGGACCTTCCACTCTATCTAATCCTCTTTGGGTAAATAAATGGTTATAGAATAATTTCAAAATATGCATACCATTATATGATAATTTTTATGTGTAGGTGTCTATTACATATTTAAGAGGATGCCGGACCGTCCTGTTTTACCGGCCATAATAATTATATATTTGCTTAATATAAGGGTTTTGCGGTGTGTATGTGCAAAATAGGATACCTCTCCACTCGGAAATGCATGAAGGAATATAAGTGAACGTTTGAAAATGTATTTGAAAGCCTAGTAAGAAACATTTCGGTGTGCAAAATGTTGCATAGTAAAATCTTTTTTATAAAGCTTCTAAACTCACTTCTCGAAGTTCACTAATACTTTTTGATAAAATGCCGAGTGCGGAGTTCACTTGTTAGGCACGTGCAGGTTGCAGGTTTTTTATATTAAGTAAATGTTGACGGCAGAAGCCGATAACAAAACTGTAATTTTTTAATTTTTTTTCACTTTTCATATGAAATCATAAACCCCGCACTCCGTTATTATGTATACTTTAATTATGGAAAAGGATTTGTTGATATCTATAATCAACAAAAATATTTTGCAATCCTACTAATATTCGCATTCTGTCGGTATCCGGCATCCTCTTAATATAAAAGATTTTTATTAACTTAAATGTTAAATATATGGAAAAACTTTAAATTATTTATATAATTAACTATAGATTTATAGAGCTATTAATTATAAATTTAATTTGATTATATAATCAAATAAAAAAGAATTACATTTTCCGTATATTTTATAAATATTTGAGTTGATAAAATTCTTCTACACTAAGTAATAAACATCTATAGATAAGAACTATTTGAACGCATATCTTGCAATTATTTTATAAAATCTTTAATTATATTAATAAATATTTCTATATATTTAACATTTAAATTGATAACATTCGTTTATACTGATTATGAATAATAAACTTATATGTGGAAATTATACTTTTATACATATCTACTATTTAGTATAAACGAATTTTATCGACTCAAAGGCATGAAAAAAATTAATTATTTAATTATATAACTAAAAAATTTAATTAAATTTGCTTATAAAGCAAAATACATAGTTTTATAGTTATTGAATGAACTTGTCGCATATAATGATGTAATATATATAAATTTATATTTTTACCATTTTTTACAACGACTCTAACGTTCTATATTTTTTTGAAAAAGTTATTTATTAAAATGATATGTATACAACAGCATATATTTTGCTTTACTATGCAAAGCGGCTTTCTACTCACAACTCTCTCTCTCTCCCTCTCTCTTCCTGTCTCTCTGTCTCTCTGTCTCTCTCTCTTTCTCTCTCTCTTAAATTAACTTTTAATAGAATTAACGAAATTCTATTACTAGGTAGATAAAAGCCCTCCTGTGCTTCGTAGTACACATCAAAAGAGACGTTTTAATATCCCGTATAGTATGATATAATAGAGTTATTATCTCGTTTTAGTGGCTAGGTAAACACGGAATTAATATATTAAAAAATGTATTCCTGCCAAAGTAGTACTAAAATTTATATATAAAATATCAGATATTACGTTTCTGACAATTATTAACTAAAATTAAAACGTGGGGAATAGTATGTATTTATCTATCTTGTATGAAATACAAATTTTATTTATGTATCTATGATATTGAAACAGTTTTTTAATTTCGATTTTTCGACGTGTTTCATGTATCTTGAAAAAGAATAATTTTTATTTCTATCCTAAGGATAATACCACCTTTCGCATTACCCGAATGGCCCTATAGTGTCGACTTTACGAGCACAGTAATGCGAATACAATATTCGATGTGGTCACAGTGAGACCCGGAAAACCACCTTCGCCACCGAGAAATCAGTCCCCCGAGAATTGACCGTGCCTGAGTCTGACAAACAAACTGTTTAGACCACCGCTACCTCGTATCCGTACTAAATAACTGCTCTCCAAGAGTATGCCAAGTCGTTTTCAAAATCGTCTACCCTGTCGACCTTGAGGTTTTAGTCTTGATATACACTATCCGGGTAAATTCAAGCCTAGACAATGCGTTCTATTAATAAAAGTAGAAGGACAAGTGAATAATATAGATTGTAATGTGAAAGAAAATCGCGTGAAGAAATGATGTTTGAAATATTTTGAATTTAGATATCGGATTATTTTCAGCCAAACAATATAAACAAAAAGTTAGCATAATTATTTTTAAACGTGATATTTTTAATACCTTAGAAAATTGAAAAAAATGTTTGAACTGTTTTTTATATCGTATTATATATTATTATATATTATCGTATTATAAATTTAGATATCGTGAAGATTTTTAACTTATTTATATAATAATTTAGATCATATAAATCTTTCAAAAATTTGCAATTTTGAAATAGAGTTTTATGATTGTATGTGGCACAGTTGGGTGTCATGTCCAATTTTTTCACACACAGATCGTCTCTTAATTGGTTTTACTATTGCTATGACAAACACATGCAAACCTATATATACATACAATCGCGTACATATATATTTATATATATTTTGTCTTTTTCACGAAACGAAAATTTAATAAGAAAATTTTTCAATCGTGTTTTTTGTCAAACTGTTTTGAAGATACAGGGCTAGTTACAATTTCGATTATATTTACAAAAAACATAATCTAAAAAATAATATTATTTATAGATGAATTCTATTTCTGCTTAGATATAAGTTTATATTCTCGTTGATAATTGCACGCAGATTATTCTGAATTTAAGCATAAATGTTACTGATATTTTCATATACTTGTAAATTATTTCCAAAATTATTCTTTTAAAACAACTCGTTTTTTATTTGAAATATATAAACTTTTGATCAAATTATAAGATTATAAAGTTTGCATATTTTTTATTAAGCCAATATATCGTCAGTATTTAACGAAGATATAAAAAGTAGCACAGAATTTTTATTCTTTTATTATATATTCTCTTACTTTCATCTTCAGATAATTCAAAGGAGCAAGGCTCGTCATTTACGTGTGGAAAATTATGACACATTTCGATAAATATCTAACAATAAGTCTGTCTCTTTCGAGAAATTACGAGAGCATAGCGCGTAAATTGCGTGCGCTCCGACCGTTTGTACTTTTTACTTTAATCTTGACAGGCTACATTACTACGGCTGCCATGTTTAGAAGTGTCTCGTTTCAGTGCTATTTGAATCTCCGGTAACGATACGAAGGCGAATCTCATCTCGCTTGGCAAGAAAAAATTTGACAGTAGCGAGATGAAAACCGGCAGAGATTTAAATTTCATTATCTACCGTTCGTTAAATTAGCTCAGTTTTACTCCTTTGCATTTTCTTTTTACGCAAATTACGAGTTATCAGATTTCGTCTCGTAGGTTTCTTCCTCCCTTGATCTAATAAAGTCGGGCGATAAAATGCGAGAGAAGCGGCGGCATTCCGATTTCCTATTTAAATTATTCTCGCGCCAGCATCGTTCGTCGAAGATAATAATGAGCAGGAAAATATGGAACTCCAATTTCCCCTTCTCCTACGTATCGAAGATTCCGGACGTGTATCTAATGAAATTTCTGTTAAAATATGCGATCTTGTTCACTCGCCATGCTTTCGCGCGTTGAGATACAACGGAAAATTCTTTTAGATATTGCTTCTCAAATTTTGCAATGATAATGAATGATACGATGATTAATATTTTCAGTCAAGAATGCCCATTTTCAACAGCTTGATGATCAATAAATATTTTTGAAGTTTCTCGAATATTATTAAGATTGAATGAATAAAAGTAGAATAAAGCATCAGATATAATGAATGTTTGGGCGTGTTAAATTGCGTTATCACTTTTGTATTTTTTGTAGAACTGCAAATTCAGCACTGGGAGACACATTTAGATAAAAGATAGACCCAACGGACACGTTAATCTTGGCATATGCCGGCCACGAACTTATCGATGTAATCTTTTCGCGACCGACAGACATTTAGATACAATGATGTAATCGGAAATGAAAAGCAATTAAATAATTTTTTTTTTGTTATGATTATATCTAACTTTATTCTTTTTTAATTATTAGTACTTTTTTAATTATTAGTACTTTTTATTAGTACTTTTTTTTATTATTAGTACTTTTTATTAGTACTTTTTTAATTATTAGTACGCTATATTGCTTGAAACGTTATGCAATATAGACGATAATTAAGAATTACACAGCTTGGAAATACTATCAAATTTATGACAAAATATTGTATGACGAGATATTAATTTAATGCTTAAAAGCATAATGTCACATACTTCGCACAATTATTACTAAATGAAGTCTGAGTTTAAGATTTAGTATTTTTGATATTAAATTTAAATCTTAAATAACATTTTATATTAAAAGTTTTTTTTACACAAATTTGCATTTAAGATCTATCTATTTCTATCTCAATTTTTTGTTAGAATTTACAAATAACATTTCCGTATCGATTTTTAATCAAACTATTCGGGTTAGATATGCGAACTTTTCGACGTGTAAATCTGCAATTGAGCTACTGACGTGTTGACGTTTTACTGACGATCCCTATCGCTGGAAGAATATTTTAGTCGTCGATATTGAACAAGCGAAACGTCAGCTTCGACTTGCATATCGATATGTACGTATCATGAAAGGAATTTTGTCTGATATCAGGTAATAGAGTTCG